CATCTTACGCAGAATTGAGTGGGGAACACGATCGTATCTTCAGAATTCCTCAACTTCACTCGCCTGACCTACATTTGCCCCGGCCGAGGGGGTTGATTGAACCCACCTCGCTAATGCACCGCTAATTAAACTAGAATTAAGCGGTAAAGTGGTCGTATGTGGCAAATTATAATGCAGAGTGACTGGTAGGAACCCGCTGTAAGGGTCTCAGGTCAACCGGTGACCTCTGAGGTCAGGTCAAGTGATCTAAGGCACGGGTTCGGTTTTTGGTAAATAACTTCGCCAAAAATGGCCGTAGAGCCGCGATTTTGGCATCATCGTGTTCAGCTAGCTCAGGCGCATCGAGTGATATACTTTTTGTTCGGGTCAGGTCAACTTAGGGTGTTGACCTCAGGTCAAGGTCAGGTCAGCACCCCCAGGTCACGAAGTTGGTCGAAAGAGGTCATGTCGCATATCATTCGATTCGGCAGGTCTTCCTGAGTCCATTGGTGGCTTTCCCGACTCGCTAGCTCAATTTGATCGGGAGTTATTGAAGAAAAATGGTGACCCTTGTGACGTCACAAATGACGTCACGCAAGGGCAACAATGCAAATATGAAGCACAGAACCTTGCAAAGAGTGCATGAAATCATGATTTTATATGCTTGAGATAGTTTCAGATCATTCTCGGCGCCAAAATAACAATTTTCATATTTCCCCATTGACTTATAAGGGTTTAACGTATTAGTTCCCTATAGCTGATGATTTTTTAGGATTTTATCTTGTTCTCCACTCAATTCTGCGTAAGATGCCGGGTTCCGTGTCCACATAGCTTGAGCGTAACGGATGCAGCGACCGCAAACGTAAATCGAGGTCCCGAATTCCCTATTCCCCAGCACAGGCGGCGGCCGGTTTCTGGTCTGCGCAACATGGCGGCACCGTTGGACACCATTTGGCGGCCGATGCGCATTCCACATTATAGAGTTCAGTGGGTTACGCACATTTTACATGTCACTGCAGGCTCAGACCTGGTGGAACGCCATGTCGCCCTGTAGGCGCCACTGGCGGATCCAGGGTGTCAGCGCGGGGGGGGGGCATACCAGGTCACGGAGCCAAACCTAGGGTACCCCCAAATCCTGTTTTCTCATCGGATTTAGGCCACTTATTTTTCGTCATAGCCCTGACACGAGTTTTTTTTTCTAAAAAAAAAAATGGTAGGACACCTGACCCCCATTGGCAGATCCAGGAGGAGGAGGCTTTTGGGACAAACACCCGGGCAGCGCCAGAAATCGACGAAAATTGGTGGGGCCGGTGGGGCCCTCAGAATGACTGGTGTAGGTAAAGAGCCGACCCAGGGTCGCCGGTGTGGAACCTTAAGAGGTACTGGCGTGGGACCATCAAAGGTATCGGTGTGGGTTCCCCAGAGGCAGTGGTGTGGAGCCCTCAGAGGCACTGGTGCAGGAACCACAAAGGAGCCGGTGTGGGCCCTCTAAGGTGCTGGTGTGAGGCCCTCACATGGACGCCGTTGTGGTGCCTCAGACACTGGTGTGGCGCTAAGCCCACACCATTCACAGATGGCTGTGTGTGGGGCCCTTGGAGTGGTTGGTGCGAAATGCGAATGCTTAATAACCCAGTAGGACCTCTCAGAGACCGACAAAGGGCCCTCAGAGGCCGGTAACGGGCCGTATGATGCCAACAATGGGCCTTCACAGGCCGGCAAGTGAGGGCCGGCAATATCTTCAGGAGCCCTGTGGAGTCCTTAGAGATCGGCATGGTACTCTCAGACGCCGGTGGGGCCCTCAGAGTCACCGGTGTTACCGGTGGCTGACTGCCAGAGGCATTGGTGTGGGGCCCCAGAGGCGCCAGTGTGGGACCCTCAGAGTCGCCTATGTGGGACCTCAGGAGACACTGGTGTGTCAGAGGTGGCGGTGTAGGGCCCTCAGACGTGTCTGTGTGGTGCCCTCTCAGTCGCCGGTGAAGACTTTCAAAGGCATCGTTGTGGGAGTCCTCACTCCTCAGAGACACATGCATGGGGGCAAGGGGTCTTCAAGAGACCAGCAAGGGCCAGCAGAGGCCTTCAGGAGCCCTGTGGGATCCAGGAGACCGGCGTGGTACTCTCAGGCGTGGGAGCCCTCAGAGTCACCAGTGTGGGGCCCACAGAGTTGCAGGTAGGTAGCCGTCAGATGCGCCTGTGTAAGACCTTCAGAGGCGCCAGTGTGGGGCCCTCAGAGCGGCCGCCGATGTAGGGCCTTAAGAAATATTGGTGTTAGTCCCTCAGATTGGCGGTGTTGGGCCCTCAAAGGCGCCAGTGTGAGACCCTCACAGGCGCCGTTATGGGCCCTCAGAGGCACTGGTGTGGAGCCGTTCCATGCGGGTATGGGTCAGGACCCTAATTAAAGCTGAGCTGACGCTTAATGGGTCAGCAAGGTCACTCAGAGGTCAGCACAGGGCCCTCAGAAGCCGGAGTGGGGCCCTTATGGAGATGTGTGATGTGTGGCGACTCAGGAGGCCGTGACTCCGTGAGGTGCTCTCACGAGTCCTGCGGGTCTTATCTCAGTCGAAATAAGGCATGCTTGGACCCTGAGCGGCCAATTGGCACTGCAGGGCCTCTCGGGCCCATAGGGCACCATGCATCTAATGAGGCGGCACGCGCCCCTTGTGCCCCCCCCCCCCCCCCGGTTACGCTGCACTGGCTGCGGCCATACTGATAAAGGTAAATCATATTCTAACCGTCCCTATTCTCAAGCATAGGCGGCGGCCGATACCTGGTTTGCGCAATATGAGTGCCATCGTTAGACAATACGGTCAAAAGTGTTGAAGCGGCATGACTCCCCTGTGGTAAGAACTAAGAAGCAACATACTTACAAAATAAAGCAATGACAACTAAATTGAGGCTACTAAAACGACTCTGATCACAAAAGTAGTTACTAGGAAGGATTTCTAATCCATTTTTATTTAGTTCCTCGTTATAGGCGTAAGAAGTGTAAGTCTGAACGGGGGGGGCATACTTGTACTGAATGCCCTCCCCAGGCTCCTGTCGGGGGGGGGGGCATATGCCCCTAATGCCCCCCCCCCCTGGATCCGCCAGTGGTAGGCGCACTGGGGTAAGTTGTGACAGCAAAAGTATTTTTTGCTGGCCAACACTTTGGATCGTTTTTTGTCAAGGTTATTTGTGTAAGAATGTTGAATGTATGTTCACAAAATTAAGCGATGATTTCTTTTGTAAGATCACCAATTAAAACGCACTAGCCTCTTCATGTAAACAAACATTTGAGTTCAGTCTTGTGAAAGTCGGCCGCCGCAGGGCCGGGGCATGTTTAAAGATGGTTACCCAAGACTGCTTATAGCGTGCTCCATTTCACCTGGGCGTAAATTTCGTGCAGAAAATCAAACTCCGGTCAGTATGGCAATGCATGGTGCCCTTGGCGTCGCAGTAAAGGCAAATCAGAGATTGAGCCATGTTTGATGAGCCTTTTCATGCGTGTGGAGTACAGTAATGGTTTATGCTTTATTGTTCTTGCCTTTCAATGAGAAAGGAAAGCATGTTTAGTATTATCCATTAGGGAGGCTTACGATCGGTTCCGATAGGACGGCCAATGACCGTTATAATGATGAAGAAACTACGAAAAAAGAAGTGTAACATGTTACCCCATATCGTGTATCAAGTTGCCCCACAATTTTTCAACTTACCCCAAAAATCTTGCTTTGGTTTTCTGAATTTCACATAAAAGTGAATAGTCGTAAAGAAGTGAAAGTTTGCATGTGCTTTCCAAATTGATTCAGCTAGCATGTGACCAAATTTGGTGCAATTTCATTGAATAGCTTGGCCACTAAGTGCAGAAGACCAAAAAGTGTAACTCATAGCCTCACTCTCCCCTAACTTGTTCGTTGGACCCAATATACTTATAGTATCACTTCATGCCAACAAATTTTGCAATAACCAACACTTCCCTATAACGTTTACAAACCAATAAACCGAGTGACGAATTTAGCGCTATTTACAGTAGATATTTATGAATTGCGTAATGACTTGTTGATATAGGTATGATAGGTACCTACTTGTCGCGCGGTATTATTTGATCGCACCAAATACCAACGTTATAGAAATCCTCATTGAACTGCATGCCCGAAATATACGTACCGGAATTCCTCGGCCCTCTAGAGTAGGAAGAGTTTGATCAGGCCGGCCATGGCCTGTGAGGCTGCAGCGACTATGGCACTGAGAACACCGACCACCTTTAGAGTAACGACCACAGCCTCCAGTGCGGTCATGACCGGAGGTGGAGCGGGCTGACGGAGGCGGCAAGCGCCCGCGGAACCTCCAAAACGGGGAGGAGCCGCACCGGGCCTGCTGCCCGCACCCCGGCCAGAAAGTAGCCGGCGGGCAGAAACGGACCGACCGACCCAGAGTCGTCGCAGCCTCACAGCGACTGACGGGACCCTGTCAGACGGCCCTCGGCGACGCAGACGGAAAGAGGACGCGGCTGGCATGGTTAGACGGTCACCGGACACCGAGCGACGGCCACTGCCGGCTCCCGTCCGGCCATCCCACTTTTTGTGGAGATGACCTGGCGTCCGCCATGATCCCGTCCCCATGTTTTTACACAGAGAGACGACAGCGAACAATAAATAATGTTTATCGCGGATTGCGGAAGCAACTATTGATAAATATTCGACGACCGCGTCATGCAGCTTCGTGTCATTTCGTAGAAAATGGTCAATCCTGACTAGTCTCGGCATTTTGATGATAACACCTATTCTCGATATCATCTCGAAACGATCTTAGGCCTATATCTAATTTCTTTCTTGATGCTAGAAGACATAATCGAGAGAAATTATAGTGATAAATCTCGTCACTAATATTAGGCTCACCTTTGATGGAAGGCCGAAACGAAAACCTTTGCCTGAATTAGAAGTTAGCCCTTCATTCACTGTCTTTGCAATAAGAGTCCTCGAAAAGCACATCTACATATCACCACTCACTCACCGGTTATCATCGCATCATCAGCGCGCCTTTCTTACCAGCTCTGGTGTTCGCAGTGCTCACTGCTCCTAGGCTCGGTAGTCGGTGAAGTCGGCCCGGGCCTGCCGGTCAGTCCAGCGGCGGTGGAACTGCTCCTCTGTTCCAGCACCAGCCGGCCTCAGCACGCAGTGAGGCTGGTCCTCCGTCCGGCTTCCGCGCACTGTCGTAGCTGCGCTAGTCTCGACTTACGCAGTCTGACTTATCTACTGGTTGACCTTAGTCGCGCAGTCTGACCGCCCCGCTGGTTGACAGCTGGTCGGCTGCTCCGCTGGTGGCTGGTTGCGCAGCCGGTCGGTTGCTCCGCTGGTGGCTGGTTGACAGCTGGTCGGCTGCTCCGCTGGTGGCTGGTTGCGCAGCTGGCCGGCTGCTCCGCTGGTGGTTGGTTGACAGCTGGTCGGTTGCTCCGCTGGTGGCTGGTTGCGCAGCTGGTCGGTTGCTCCGCTGGTGGCTGGTTGCGCAGCTGGTCGGCTGCTGCGCTGGTGACTGGTTGCGCAGCGGCTGGCCCCACTGTCGCCGCGTTCTGCCGTGGATCTGCCACCTCCTCTCGGCGCCACTGTGACGGCGAACACGGCCAGCCGCCGACTGGGTCCGATCGGAGGCCTGCAGTCAGTCATCTCCCCCCTCCCGCCCCCCCCCCACAACCCGCGTGAGTGATTCGTGGCACGCGCCAGACGCACCCCTCCCCGGCCTCTGCCCGGGCCCCCTCCCCTCTACTCGCCCTCACCAAGTCACACGGCAAAGGCATGGTATTTCGGTAAACTTACATACAGGGTGGACCAAAAAGGATGGAAACATTATAAACTCGTATAAAACATGTATCATTGCATGCATGTGACTGGGAATGATACCAAACAAGAATACATTTCGTGGAAATTCATAATGGCATCACTCTTGACACGATAGCCCGCTTGTATGGCTCACACAGCCTTGCTGATCGCTCTCTTCAGTTCAGAGGCTTTCTGGACCTCATGTAGACTTTGTGGGGACCCTAAAGATGACCCCACAGTAAAACATCCATAGGGGTCAGGTCGGATGAGCAGGTAGGCCAGTCCCGACTGGCACCGCGGGATATCAGCCGGTCACCGAAGTGGTTTTCGATGCACTTGAGCGTTGTTTTTGCGATGTGAGGAGGCGCAGTGAGGAGGCGCACCGTCTTGCTGGAACCACATAAGGTCTATGATGGGGCTGCCATGCTTCGTTTGGACTCGCTCTCAGAACTTCCTCAGCGCCGCCCATGGTATGCGCTGTTGATTGACTGTCATGGTGTCGCCGCTCCCTTCCTCGAACCAAAGTGGACCCACGATTCCTTTTCCGCTGAGGGCACACCATTTCAGTGACCTTGCTGCTGTGCAGCGACTTCTTTATCATCTCATCTCAAGGGCCAGGTCTACAAGGAAGGTCTCTGTGACCTGAAGAGAGCGATCACCAAGACTGTGTGAGCCGCACCAGCGAACATGTGTCGTAGGGCTATCGCGTCAGCCACCAGACCGGCCGCTCTGTGCCTGTCTCGCGAAGGCGGTCTTTTCGAACATTTGCTGTGAGAGACTGAAAACGAGAGAAAGCAGATGAAAGTGATGCCGTTATGATTTTCCACGAAATGTACTCTCGTTTGGTACCATTGCCAGTCATATACACACAGAAAAATATTAACACCGTTAGCGGTGTAATTGCACAGTACATATCTGAGCACTTGAGGAAAGTTAATTTAGTCCCTTCCCCGCTTAAATTACTCGCGCTTCTAAATGAACACCAGGAAGAAGGTAATAGAACACTGTTAGGAGGGTTGGGTGTTTTGCTACATGTACAGCCCACCGCTAAAGTAATGTAGGGTTTTACCAATCTCAACGGTTGGCTTTGACTGGCGATTGTTTAATGCGGAGTGATCGAAAAGAAGATGTCAATAGCTAAAGTTGCAGCTGCAAGGGTGACGATACATATAAGCTGCATTCAAAGTTTCATTGTAGTCTGGCTAATCGTTCCTAAGCTTCAGAAGCAGAACATACCCATGACTGAAACCCCACATTACTTCTGCTGTGGACTGTACATGTAGTAAAACACCCAACCCTCCTAACAGTGTTCTATTACCTTCTTCCTGGTGTTCATTTAGAAGCGCGAGTAATTTAAGCGGGGAAGGGACTAAATTAACTTTCCTCAAGTGCTCAGATATGTACTGTGCAATTACACCGCTAACGGTGTCAATATTTTTCTGTGTGTACAATATACATGCAATAATGCACGTTTAGTGCGAGTTCAAAATGTTTCCATCCTTTTTGGTCCACCCTGTAGCTCCACTCGGTAGAATGTCAGTTCAGGAGACATCAGCTCACTTTGACAAGCAAGATTTATAGTGACAGCTTGGAATGATATAAGTTAGAGGAAAGTTGGGTAAGACGGGCACCTTAACTTTGGAACCATTTTCGGCCGGTTAGAAACATCATAGAAACGGGAAACTGAGTGAAAACCTTTTTTAGACATTTTACTTCCATTTGCCAGAAGATGAGACTTAGAGCTGATTCAACAAAAAACTACATCTTGCAAGACCTTGCAAAAAAAACGTCTTACCCCACCCCATAGGGTAAGACGGTCACATGGGTAGGGCAAGACGGCCAGGTTCTTTCACCGACCAGCGCAGCTCGCAACAAATGCCCGAGATTAGTCGCATTAATACAGTCAGTTGGTCTCAAGTGCTTCGGGAAAGGCAGTACCTATACGAGATTCGTGCAGAAGGCGTATGCTCGCATATAGGCCCTAGTTCAGGAACCTGCACACCGTAGGTACGTACGGCGCCCGGCCCCGCCGGAGCTCTTAGCCGATCGTGACATTTTCCCCATCCCAAGTTCGATTAAGAAACGTTCTCTCTCCCCACCCGATTGCTGATGATAAGGAATTAAAATGCAATCAGGGGTGTAATTTTCCCAAAATGATTGTGGGTGCCCAGCTGTAGGGGCGCCAGGCCGCTTAGGGGACCAGGGGCGCCAGAAGGCTACAAGGGCGCCGTGAGAACATGACAAGGGCGCCATTATCCCAGAAGGGCGCCAAGTGATTAAAAATGCTTTATGATCCAGGGGCACAGAGTCCAGAGAGGTCAGAAGGGCGCCGCACAGTAAGTAATGCTAAGTTGGTGGGGACGTAGGGGCGCCAGACGGTTACGAGGGCGCTGTGAGACCATGAAAAGGGCACCATTCTCCTATGAAGGGCGTCGAGTGATTGAAAACCCTATATGAGGTCCAGGGGCGCTGAGAGGTCAGAAGGGCGCCGAACAGTCGAGGGATGCACGGTGGACAGAGACATAAGGGCGCGAGACGGGCGCCGTTGGATCATGAGAAGGTCGCAGTGCTGTCAAAAGGGCGCCATTCTCCCAGAATGGCGGCGAGTAATTAAAAACGCTATATTATCCAGGAACGCGAGGCGGTCAGGAGGACGCCGTTAGAGCATGCGAGGGGCGCCGTGCTCTCGAAAGGCTGTAAAAGAAGACTTGTGGGTGCATTTTCATCATTGTTGGGGCATATTTCAGGATAGTGTGGGTGCATCTGCCCCCACAAAGAGATATAAAAATAAAATTACACCCCTGAATGCAATACTTCATCTCTGTCCATTCATTGCACACCGCATATACCTACAGCGCCCAGCCCCGCATAAGGGGCTCACAGGGGCTCACCCAAATGACCTTGAAATTTAAACTTCCGCAACTTCGGTAATATGGCGGACTGAGCTCAGATTTTGGATGCATCGTAATTAGGACGTTACGTTCTATCTACTGATCAAGTTTGGTCCAAATCGGAGGGGATCGCCTGACGACAAATCTTATATTATCCCGCGCCCGGCTGGGGGTCCTCATGGATTTCCACGCCCTGCTGGGGGGGGGGGGTGTTTGAACACCCCCCCCCCTTGTAACTCGGCTCCTGGGCCACGTAGCGATACGCGGAAGGCGGCGTTAGAAAGAGCGTCAAAAATAAAGACGAAATCACTTCGGTCAATTTTTTGGTCAGTTCAAAGGTCAGGTCACCAGAGGTCATTGAAGGCAAAATTTCGCCGATTTCCAGGTCGAATGTCGAAAATTTCCAAGAAGCCAACGCATAACTCGGGAACCAATAGAGCTACAGCGCCGCGGAAAAACGCATTCGATAGCCCTATTAACGCCCTTTCTGATTAATGCTCTCAGATTTGACCTAACGTCAACGGTTTTGCCTGCAGGGGGCAAAAACTGCAAAAATAGCCGATTTTTCGGAAATAGTTTTTCTGCAATAACTTTTGACCCAAGCCTTGTACGAGCTTACTTTTACCGGCATCGTGTTCCTCTCGTCAAGACGCATCGAATGAACTATAACCTGACTTTGAAAGGTCAACTTGAAAATTTGACCTCAGGTCAAGGTCATGACCTGACCGGAAAGGGTCATGTTGCATATCAGTCGATCCGTATCGTCGAGCTGAACACATCTAAGGCGTTTTCATCGCTCTAGCATGCCTCTATCAAAAGTTATTTGCGAAAAACTGTTAGATACCATTCGTGACCTAAGATGACCTCAGGGCATAAGCAAGGGTCACGGACAACATTTTCATGTTCAATGTGTCTAATCCACTTGTAATTCGGTGTTTGGGAGTGTTAATAATGTCTTCCGTCCAAAAGAGGCGCATTTCAATTTTCTCCCATTGACTTATAGGTAATGGGGAGATCGCAAAATTGACCTGACCTTAGGTCATCGATATCAAAATTCTGAGATAAACATTTTGTACATGCTATTGCTCTTAACAATCGCTGAAAGTTTCAAAGCGATCGGTCACTCGGTGTAGCTATGGCAGACATTGAAACTTTTTATGAGGTGAGGTCACTTGAAGTGACCTGGTGACCTGACCTTGAATGACCTTGGTCTGAAATTTTCACAACATGTGTAGAATTGATGTATAATAAGGTGTAACAAAAAACGGCGGCGCTCCGCGCCGCCGTTTTTGAGATATTCGCGAAAAACCACAAGGGGGGTGTAAGGTGTTCAAACACCCCCCCCCCCCCCAGCAGGGCGCGGGTTAAAGGGACCCTCCCACCTTCAAAAAAGTTAATGAATTGGCACGAAAGTGATGTCGCTCGGTTCAGAAAGAGCGAAAACGAATATCTACCAAATTTCATCGAAAAATATTCACCGGTTTTCAAGATATTAGACTTTTACTTTTGTTTACTTTTTGGGATCTCCGCTGTTCCTAGCGACTTTATTTGAAAGTGCGGCATTTGTTGCGCGCAAAGCAGCATATACCACCGCGTGCTACCAAACGTTTTAGTAAAAGATTTAAAAATCGTTAGATCTCCGCTGACGTCACAAATTCTAAGGGGGCATACCAATGCACTAGCCCCTTAGAATCCGAAAACTGCAAGTTTGAAATTCCATATCTCCGAATTAAAGCATTTGTCGATGTTGTGAGTGCCCAAACCGGTATTTGCAGGCCATGGCCACCAATTTGGCTATCTCAACTCAAAACTAATGTTAAGGTGGGAGTGTCCCTTTAAAGGGACCCTCCCACCTTCAAAAAAGTTAATGAATTAGCATGAAAGTGATGTCGCTCGATTCAGAAAGAGCAAAAACGAATATGTACC